GAAAGTATTCAATGTGTTAATTATTGAAACTGTCCTACCAATTTGATTTGAAACTGTCTCATTGCTACTTGTTTCTCAATAAAATTATGGAAAAAAAAAAAAAAAACACAACAGATGTGCTCTTTCCACGTACCAGCTCCCCAAGATGAATATAGTCACCACATACTGCAAACACGGTATGAAAAGTGATAAAAAGTACAGGGAGACTACGATTAGACAAGGAGAAGGGAATAGAAGGTAGGAAGATCTAACAGAGGATAACAGGCAACAGGACCAAGATAAGGTATATGCATATATGAAAACACATTTGAAACCCAGGATTTTGTACAATTAATATGTATCAAGAATACATGAAAAAAAAAAAACCTTAGTAACTAAACACTATGATTACACTAAATAAATACAGCAATGGGACTACAGAAAATAGATAAGGTTGGATTATTCACTAAAAGGTGCTGAGACAGCTCAGGACTCAGTTATCTTAAAAAAAGCTGAAATCTGTCTCACACTTGAGACGAAAATAAATTCTGGATGATCACGGATTCAACTACAGTCATAGAAATGACTACAGAAGAACATGTGTTTACAAAAGAAAATATTGATTTTGTAAGTGGCTTAAAAAGCAGGACCTAAAAATATATATGCACATGAGTATATGCAGATTATCTCTGGATGAGGGAATCACAAACACCATCTCCTTGAGGCATTTTTCTTTTCCTTCTCCTTTTTCACCTTAGGGATTGAATTCAAGGCCCTGCACATGCTCTACCCCTGAGCTGTACTCCCAGGCTTTTGTAAACTGATGTTTTAATACCTTTTATAAATTTATAAATGTTTGTACTGAGCATGTAACACTTTTACAATTAGAGCAATAAAAGAATATTTAAGTGGGAAAAACAACACATACAAGCTTTGACTTTAAAATTTGATACGTTCCAAAACAGACACTTACCTTTTTCTATTTTTAGATATTCCTGTTCAGCCTGTGAAGCATAGATGGCTGACAACACAGAAAAAACAGAGGCCAACACTGTTTTCTGTTCTTGAAGGATGATGGGCGGGTCATCAGACTGGCAGAATTCATGGCAGACCAGGTCAAAAAGTAAATTCCAAGTGTCTTTCCCAGTCTCAGGACACTGTACTTAATACAGATTATGAAAAAAGGAGAAATCTTAAAATAGCAACAAGAAATTTAAAAGCTACCAAATGATTAAATGAGTGACCAGACTGCATCCCAGTGAGCCATCTTACCAATTGCTTGAATCCCATCGTCCACTGTGGTAAGGAGCTGGAAGATACGCATGTAAACATCAAGCCCTTCTGGGTTCTCAGAACTAAACACAAAAAGCGAAGACACTGAATCAGTAACTTTACTGTGAAAAAAATAAATAAATT